GTTTGGACGCCGGGATCAGACGGGCGTGGGGGCCAAGCGAATCGACCGGCGTGTGTAACGTCCGGACTTTCTCGGAAGCCGGGGCACGTAGGAAGAGAACTACTGGTTTTACGTTGGCGAGGTTTTCGCAGGATCAGATAGGGACTGGACCTCTGGACGGTTTACACCAACGTTATAACGGTGACATTTTTAAAAAATCCCAGGACGGGGAAAGATTGCACATTTTTTTCGGCGCCCGGGCTGACTCGTTGGTACAGTTTCGAAGAAAATCCGAGAGAGGGAGGCGAATGGAGACGTGCGAACGTGCGAATGGAGTCGGGCGTTAAACAGCCCGGGCTTCATTTGCATATTCGGCGCTATTTCGAAAGAACAGACGCGACGCTTTCGAGAGAAAACCCGTCTCGCGACAGACCCGGGAAACCTCATTGTCCGAGGGATGCGGGCGATTTCGAGAGAAGGGTTTTGACGGCGTCTCACCGGCGTCCGTTATTTCGAAATAGCGCCGTCGCGCGATTGTGCAACGCTATTTAAATCCCGCGCTTCGTTTGCAATTTCGACTGGCTTCGTTTGCATCCCGCTCTCGAAAGAGGGCGCAAGTGGAGACAGACCACTAATCGTAGCCTCCCGGCTCACCCGTGTGCGTGCCCAGTTCTTCTGGCAATCCAGCAGCAGGGAGTTCCGCCGGTTCCGCTCGACGTCTGTCCCAGCAATGCGTCCCGAAGACAGCTCAGTCGAGCAGCGCAGGAGCCCAGCAAACTGGAGTTATGCGGGGAAACCCAAATCTCCCGGCCTTTGTGGCACGTGCTCACTGCTACTTGCACGCCTCCGGGGCAGCGTGGGCGGGGGCGAAACTCGAGGTCAGCTCGTCCCTTGCGATCTCCTCCCGGCAGGAACAGCAATCGGAGAGAGAATCAGACACCAGGGAAAAATGTAAACTCAGAGGCTTTGGCTACGAACGTTTGGCCCTGCTACGCAAGAGCTTCAGCCAGGACAGGTCGGTATTTTGCCCTCCTGTCGGTTAAAAAACCATCCCAGAGAATACCGGTATTTTCTGTTTTTCTGGGACCGGAGAAAGGGGCGTGGTAATAATTTAAAGGCACAGTGACCTTTTTTTTTTTCTGCTTAATATTGGTCTCCCCCTTTTTTCTTTTCAACCGAAGTTTTTTCCCGGTGGTTTATTTTGCGGGGGGTATTTTTTGGCCACCCAATCCCCAGCCCCGCCTCTTCTTCCGCAGGCCCCGCCCCTTCCGGGGGTGGAGCCAGCCTGCAGCCATGTCCCAAAATTAATGACGTGGCCCCACTGAGAAAATGATTACCCACGCCTGCCCTCGCACCAGCCCGGGTCCCCGGGGTTCGTACCGACTCGGAGAAGACAGCGCCCCCTGCTGGCTTAACCACCCCACTGCCTGCAGGACAGGCACCCAAGCCGTTAGCAGAGATGACCCAGGAAAAGGGGCCAATGTGAGAATTAGGGGAGCATGCGATTTCAGCAGCCTCCTGGCGCTGCAGCTGGAAAAGAAACATTTTCCCGAGCAGGTTAGCTGCCGCCGGATAAATCCACATCTGGAAGACGGTGTGCAGATGTGGCCGCCTCCTCTCCTCTCGGCATCGGGAAAGGTTCCGGAAAAGGCTCCAAAAATGGAACAGCGGCCTTAGGAAGAGAGATGGAACCAACCGGGACTTTTCAGCTTCGAGAAGAGGCGGCGACGCGAGGAGAGGACAGAGGTCGACACACTCACGACAGGCGTGGAGAAAGCGTTACCGACTTGTTCCTGCCGCATAAGGACTCGGGGCCAGCGGGGGGAGTGAATAGGTTGCAGGTTTCAAACAAACAAACAGAAACCAAATGGTTAACCTGTGGAACTCCTCGCCACAGGACGCGGCAAAGGCCAGGACTTGAACCCAGCTCCAAAAAGAGCAAGATACATTCCTGGTCCGTCCATGGCGATGAGCCAGGATGGGCAAGGATGTTGTCTTAAGTGGTCTGTGCCCGCGAAAGCTCATGCGCCCATCTCCATGTTTTGTTAGTCTCTAAAGTGCTACCAGACCTCGTGACAGGGGTGGAGAAAGCGACGAAGGAAAGGTTACAGACTCGTTCCCGCCATATAAGAACTCGGGGCCAGCAAGGGGAGGGAATAGGTAGCAGGTTTCAAACAAACAAACAGAAACCAAACGGTCAACCTGTGGAACTCCTCGCCACAGGACACGCTGAAGGCCAGGACTTTAAAACGGCTTCAAAAGGAGAAAGATACGTTCCTGGTCCATCCATGGCGATGAGCTGGGATGGGCAGGGATGGTGTCTTACGTGGGCTGTGCCCACGAAAGCTCATGGTCCCATTTCCATGTTTTGTTAGTCAATCAAGTGCTACCAGACCTCGTGACAGGTGTGGAGAAAGTGACAAGGGAAAAGTTACTGACTCGTTCCCGCCATCTAAGAACTCGGGGCCAGCAGGGGGAGCGAATAGGTGACAGATTTCAAACAAACAAAAAAGACCAACGGTCAACCTGTGGAACTCCTCGCCACAGGACGCGGCAAAGGCCAGGACTTGAACCCAGCTCCAAAAAGAGCAAGATACATTCCTGGTCCGTCCATGGCGATGAGCCAGGATGGGCAAGGATGTTGTCTTAAGTGGTCTGTGCCCGCGAAAGCTCATGCGCCCATCTCCATGTTTTGTTAGTCTCTAAAGTGCTACCAGACCTCGTGACAGGGGTGGAGAAAGCGACGAAGGAAAGGTTACAGACTCGTTCCCGCCATATAAGAACTCGGGGCCAGCAAGGGGAGGGAATAGGTAGCAGGTTTCAAACAAACAAACAGAAACCAAATGGTTAACCTGTGGAACTCCTCGCCACAGGACGCGGCAAAGGCCAGGACTTGAACCCAGCTCCAAAAAGAGCAAGATACATTCCTGGTCCGTCCATGGCGATGAGCCAGGATGGGCAAGGATGTTGTCTTAAGTGGTCTGTGCCCGCGAAAGCTCATGCGCCCATCTCCATGTTTTGTTAGTCTCTAAAGTGCTACCAGACCTCGTGACAGGGGTGGAGAAAGCGACGAAGGAAAGGTTACAGACTCGTTCCCGCCATATAAGAACTCGGGGCCAGCAAGGGGAGGGAATAGGTAGCAGGTTTCAAACAAACAAACAGAAACCAAACGGTCAACCTGTGGAACTCCTCGCCACAGGACACGCTGAAGGCCAGGACTTTAAAACGGCTTCAAAAGGAGAAAGATACGTTCCTGGTCCATCCATGGCGATGAGCTGGGATGGGCAGGGATGGTGTCTTACGTGGGCTGTGCCCACGAAAGCTCATGGTCCCATTTCCATGTTTTGTTAGTCAATCAAGTGCTCCCAGACCTCGTGACAGGTGTGGAGAAAGTGACAAGGGAAAAGTTACTGACTCGTTCCCACCATATAAGAACTCGGGGCCAGCAGGGGGAGCAAATAGGCGGCAGGTTTCAAATAAACAAACAAAAAAAACCCAAACGGTCAACCTGTGGAACTCCTCGCCACAGGGTGTGGCAAAGGTGAGGACTTTAACACGGCTCCAAAAAGGGTGAGATATGTTCCTGGTCCATCCATGGTGATGGGCAGAGATGGGCTGTGCCTGTGAAAGCTCATGCTCCCATCTCCATGTTTTGTTAGTCGATCAAGTGCTCCCAGACCTCGTGACAGGTGTGGCGAAAGTGACAAGGGAAAAGTTACTGACTCGTTCCCACCATATAAGAACTCGGGGCCAGCAGGGGGAGCAAATAGGCGGCAGGTTTCAAATAAACAAACAAAAAAAACCCAAACGGTCAACCTGTGGAACTCCTCGCCACAGGGTGTGGCAAAGGTGAGGACTTTAACACGGCTCCAAAAAGGGTGAGATACGTTCCTGGTCCATCCATAGTGATGGGCAGAGATGGGCTGTGCCCGCGAAAGCTCATGCTCCCATCTCCATGTTTTGTTAGTCGATCAAGTGCTCCCAGACCTCGTGACAGGTGTGGAGAAAGTGACAAGGGAAAAGTTACTGACTCGTTCCCACCATCTAAGAACTTGGGGCCAGCAGGGGGAGTGAATAGGTGGCAGGTTTCAAACAAACAAACCAAAAAAACCCCCAAACGGTCAACCTGTGGAACTCCTCGCCACAGGACACTCCGAAAGCCAGACCTTTAAGCTGGCTCCAAAAAGAGTGAGCTACGTTCCTGGTCTGTCCATGGCGATGAGCCAGGATGGGCAGGGATGGTGTCTTACGTGGGCTAAGCTCATGCACCCGTCTCCATGTTAGGTAGCAGGTTTCAAACAAACAAACCAAAAAAACCCCCAAACGGTCAACCTGTGGAACTCCTCGCCACAGGATGTTGTTTTGTTCTATTTGTGAGGGGGCTGGAAATGGGTGATGGGGGGGACTGCTTGCTGATCCCCTCTTCTGTTCCCTCCCTCCGGGGCGGTGGCCTCTGGCGGCAGACAGGGCAAGTCCGTGCCTTTCTCCCTCCGCCCTGATTCATGACAAAAGTCTGTTTGGCAATTTCCTCTCCGGCTGCAGTGTGATTGCTGGGGGGGAAACTCGACGGAGCTGGGGCTGCCGTCTCACCTGTCCAAAATCAAAGAGGGAAATCCCGAAGCAGGGATGTGGGCGGTGCGACTCGCCCTCCGGAAACGGCAAACACTTTCCCCTCCCCGGGGTGAGTCGCCACATTGCCTAGTGACCCGTGGCTGAAATCCCCCCGCTTTTCCCCTGAGCACCGTCAGCTTGCGACGTCGACCCCCCTTCTTACAACACAGACCGTATATAAAGCAGAGAAATCCCCCGGTATGAACACGAATGTCGGAAAACTCCCGTGAACGCCACTCCCCGGCTCTTGGGATGCAGTTAAAGATGAAGTCCCTCCCGGCAGGTAAAAAAAAGACTTTTTCGGTTGCAAACCCCGGGGCCGAGGTGGGCGCAGCTCGGTGCGGAGACGCCCCCCCTTCTTACAACACAGACCGTATATAAAGCAGAGAAATCCCCCGGTATGAACACGAATGTCGGAAAACTCCCGTGAACGCCACTCCCCGGCTCTTGGGATGCAGTTAAAGATGAAGTCCCTCCCGGCAGGTAAAAAAAAGACTTTTTCGGTTGCAAACCCCGGGGCCGAGGTGGGCGCAGCTCGGTGCGGAGACGCCCGAAACGCACGTTCCCCCGGCCCGTGAGCAGTGCTAAGATTTGGCAGCAGGCGGCGAAACCGGGCTGAATTTGGCCGGGTGCCACCTAACGCTGGAAATGTAACCCTCGCAAGCCGGGTGGGTTCGGGGAGCTGCGGAGAGCTCAGGACGCGGCTTTGGGAGGGCAGGAAAACTCGCGTCCGGAGGAAGTTGGCACTGGGAACGGAGCTGATTGAAAGCAGAAAAGAGGGGGGGACGACTCAGCAGGCAGCCAGCCCCCCCAAGCTCAAAAATCCGCCCCGGCTGGGCCACCTCCCACACTCGGCGGCTGTGTCTAGACTGGCAAAGTTTTTCTC